TTTCACTAAAAACTAGTTTAACTCTTAATCACAATCTGCTTTTGTCACATCTGATCGAATGGGATCCTATATTTTGCCTAAAACAGATCTAACACATAATAAACATACAGCAATTAAAATGAAACAAGGTGCAGAAATGACCAAAAAGGACATCAGTGTATTCTCCAGATCATTTTTTTATCCCATCTGGAAAGTTATTTCAAAAAGAAAAAGGGTGGGAGAATTATGGACTTTCTGCCATCTCACAAATAAGAAACTCACCCAATATATATTATTATCAGATGTTTGACTGCATCTTGCATCATGACAAAATACAGAGACAGGCATAAAGCTGTGGCATCTTATGGAATCTACTTGAGATTTTAATACATTATTTGGAAAAAATGAAGTATACTTTGGGATACACATTTTCAGTTCCTTAGGCATTTATATATAACTCACTCATTAATTATCTGATACATTTAACCATGACTATGCTTGGCATATAAAACAAAATAAGCTTTGTTTTGTCAACTCACTGAGGATGGTACTTCATGAAATAGGTGGGCAACAATGACAAAAAGTCCCACTGTATTGTACAGTCTTCATATATTGGTGCTACTAACATGCAGGCTAATTCTGTATAAATTTTCTGTTACATCAGTGGTTCTCAATCCTTTCTTCACCACGGATGCCCTTTAAATAACTTTTGGGGCCATGGACCATGGCCATGAATCCCAAAAACTTAACTCAAGACTTAAATAGTAACATTTCTTCATGGCTTAGTGGGCCCCGTGACACTGTGGTCCCCCAGGGTCCATTGATTTTAAAAACTTATGTCTTTCATGCTTTTAATTAAATTATTCTTATATTGTGTTCAAGCGTAACCTCTTCCTAGTATATGTATAACAACAATCACAGTATTGACCATAATGTGGAAGGAATTGCCAATGATAGTATTTCCTGAAACAGGAGGTTAAGGATGAGTCAATCCAACACTAACTTCAAATTTAATTTAAATACTGTAATATATACTTTTAAAATCTTAAGTCACTTTTTTCGCAAATTAAAGACAATATTTCAATAATTTCCCTATTTCTAAATTAATAAAATAGATTACTTTTAATAGATTAATCCTTTGTGTCCAATCCAGTGAGCCATTTTTTTATTCTAACCGTTTCACAACATGCAGAAATGCCAATTTGTTACCTGCAAATTTGTAGCCCATCCAGGAAAAAACTGAGAAAGAAAAGAGTCTTATGTAAGCAACAGCTCACCTATAAGGGCTCCATTGTTGTGACCAGCACATTCAACTTCCTCTGGATGAAGTGTAAAAGCATACAGAACAAAAGCCAAGAAATAAAGCAGAATAGTTAGATGCCCAGCCATAAATGCAAAAGAAGAGTTACTTCAGAATGACAACCGTATAAAGCTTAGCATGGAAAGCCTTCAATAAATCATTGTTTAAAAATAAATCATCATATTTTCTATAGTAGTTTTCTACACACAACAACATGCATACTCCGTGTCTTTATTGCCTTTTCGTGATAGAAATTAAAGGTGTTCTATTTAGCTTTAGTGCAAGATAAAAATGCAGTAGCTGAAGCAAAGATGAAATTATTTACAAAGAATATCAAAGAGGTTTTATGTTTGGCTCAATGGATCAGACAGAAAGGGTTTCTGATGAACATATAGCACATTTGCTCAATCCAAAATATTTTCACGCTTGTCATAATATGCCAGAGGTCTCTTGACAAAACAGGTTATAGTTTTTCTAGTTATACTAAACAGTTGATTTGGTGAATTAATGACTGCAATTGTTATGTATTCTGCAAATGACAGCAGCACAGCAGCTTAAAAAGGAAAAGGACCCTGTAAATTGAGAAAATAGGTTCTAAAATTATGTTGCTGAAATCTGCAATGGAAAACAACTTTTTTTTAAATGAATTCTTTTAGAATCATGCAACAGCACTGACTCTATCTTTAGGCCAACTGTAATGTTTTGAATGATAGCACCTGTTTATTATCTTATTTTTTTAGTAACATTCAAATAAATTACCAGAAATTTAGCCAAAGCCTGCAAATTCAATCCATATACCAAAACGTATTTCTGCAGGAGAATTTTTCTTTCCAGAGTATCTTAGGTGGGAAGAGAAGTATGTAGGGAATAATAAATAGAAAAGGCACATCCGGCAATGAGTAATACCCAAGGAGCCCCATGCCTTACCCCACAGTTATCATCATGCATGTATGTTACCTTGCACATGACCAACTTGCTTACAGCCTTCATAGCTCACGGCAACTCACTTTGGAACTCTATTGCAATAGCTAAATTACTAGTCTGTATCACTAAATGTGCTGTTATAAGCCACATTTAATTTTCTAATTGTTTCTAAAGTAGAGATGCCTTAATTAATCTAGCTTTCAGACCATCTCTACCACCAAGCAGGGAAACTTACATGTGTACCTTCAATTTTCTCTGAAAAGCAAAAAAGGGGAAAAACAGGAGGCAAGATTACACAGACTGAGAACGCAGTAAAAGAATGAAAACTTTAAAACTCAGAAGAAAGACACCTACCACACTCAACTGTCTCCTCAGCTTAGAAGAGCCAAAAAACAAACAAGTAGACACGATTTATTTAAAATAATATATTCAGCAAATAATAATAAAACTAGGAAAGACAACATATAATCGGATAGCATTGAGAATGCATTAAGAACATAATTTTAAGTAGTTTTCATTGGGAAGTAGGTTCCCAAAGTTTGCTCTTTTAATTGATGCAACATCTGTTGTGGGACAGCCAGTACCAGAGAAATGCTTAGCCCCTGCTAAATTTGCCAAAATCTGTTTTCTCTCATTAACAAAGAATTCAGCTGAGACAGAAGAAAAAAGAGGGTAGCTAATTTTTTTTGGCGGAAATAGTCATTTGTTTAGTTTAACCATGATGTTGAACTACCAGGAGTATTATACCGGTATTATGGCGCCTTCAATCACATAATTGTGTGATCAGTTCATTACCTAACTGCTCCCCTAATGATCTGGAATTCAAATAACATGTTCAAACTTCTCAAGGCCAGGGCTGTACAAAGAGTTCCTAATAGGGACTTGAGCCATACAGTTATATTACTAATTTGGTACCTGTTTTTCTGTAAGATGTTTATTGTAACTATTTTGCTATAATGGTAAACATGAAAAAAATCTCAATTCAATAACAGGAGGAAAATAATGTTTCTGAGATAATAGGGACAGTGTATTTTACAATAGTGGTGAATATCTATAGTTGGGGTGTAGGATGAGGTGAAGGTTCTTTCTCCGAGCTTGTGGCTTCATCCACACAGTGTATTTTATTAATTGACAAGAAAGAAATGTTGATGAAAAGTGAGATCACTTTTACTAAGAAAAATGAATTAGCAGATTCTAAAATGTAATAGTTTTGCTATCAGTTATGCCAGCATATAAATTTGGTTCTACTCAATTCAGATTTAATAAAATACGTAAATACTTCTTGTTTGAATACCACCTTTTGAATTTAACATCTGCTCATGAAGATCTGGCCAAACCATGTATTGTTTTTATTTCTTTAAAGGCACGTGAAATTTAAAATTGTGCTGAATGTCTGTAAGAACTATAGATCTAAGTCCTCAGGAGAAACCATCAAATGGATAACATGCAACTGAGACACCTCATATTTACATACATAAATCTAGGTTCTAGGTCAGGGGTAGGCAACCTTGGCTCTTTTATGACTCGTGGACTTCAACTCCCAGAATTCCTGAGCCAGCATGGCTGGCTCAGGAATTCTGGGAGTTGAAATCCACGAGTCATAAAAGAGCCAAGGTTGCCTACCCCCGTTCTAGATGCTACTACATGAAACATAGAGTTGGTCATTTACCACTGGCTCCATGATGTCTGACAAGTCTATTTTCTGCCTGATTGTACCTTCCAAACATTTGTGATTAATCCATTCCTGGGTTTAGTTACTTTTCAGACCTAATCTGAAAATCAACACTATTTATTTCTTCAAATCCAGAATTTCAATGAAACATTAGTAAATACTAGAGGCTTGACCGTCATTATGATTCTTTCCTGCATAACACATATAGGGGTCCTTGGTGCTCTCTGAACTTGGTTGTTTTCTTGTAGACTGTTCATTAGATAACATCATTAGTACCAGTGATAATAAGACATATATTAATGGAAGTTTGGACCCCTCATGGAAGTTTTTATTTTCTTATTTCTAATTCTGATAGCGCGGGAATATAAAATTAAATATCTCCTGATCTTAAAGTGTTTATTTATTTATAGAATTTGTTTTTAAGCATGGCTTGCTTAGCTTTATCAAATTACCCATCTCTTATGTTTTCCACCTCTTATTTTCTTATATCCTATCATCCTTGGATTCTGGCAGAATGAAAATTGGTGAAGCATTGAGCATGGTGCCGAGGTAGATATTTCAGACATTAAATGTTTTGCACAATATAGAACAGAAACTTCAAGAAAACAGAATAATTGGCTTGATGAAGTATTTCTACTGATTCCAGCATGGGGAAAAAGAAGAACAGTGGAAATACGGCTACAAAATATCATTTATTTACAATGTTCTTAATAACACATGTCAGTGAAGTGGAAAATTGATACACAAATATGATCATATGATTCTAGATGTGATAAATATTTTTATAACAGATTTTTTTTTTTAAAAAGGACACATTTGCAATTTAGTGGTAATTATATTATAGAATGTTTATTTTTGGAACTCAAACTAACTTAACCTGGAATTTAAAAAAGAGTGGTACATTAATAGAACTGTTTAAATGATTAAGGAAACAATCTATTTCCTACATCTATTTTATTTTCTTTACTGTAGTAAAAGCATATACTTTAAGATCTGGAATCAGCAACAAAACCAGCAATTTCTCTTATACAAGTAGAGAGGGTTGGGCCTAAAGAATGAATAGCATCACTCCTTTACTGCATAATTTATAAATGCAAAAAGCAAGTTGTGCAGCAACAGACTTACATGATTTCTTATTTGAAATCTTCAAGGGCTGAAACTGTACATCTGATCTTCTTAATGCAAGTCTCCTATCAAGTAGTTTGAGGAGGGGAAGAAAACAAAACTTTTAAGCTTTCTTATTTTTAATGTTCTTTTAGTAACAGTATGTAGGTAGTCCTCATGTTATGATCACAATTGAAACAAAAATTTCTGTTGCTAAGCAAGACCATTGTTAAGAGAGTTTTGCCCCATTTTACGATTTTTCTTCCCACAGGTTAAGTGAATCATTGCAGTTGTTAAGTTAGTAACACAGTTGTTAAAAGTTGTTCACATGACTCTCGGGACATTGCAATCGTTATAAATATGAGTCAGTTGTCAAGCATCTGAATTTTGATCACGTGACCATGGGGATACTGCAACGGTTGTAAAGTGGACATAGGTAGCTTTCTTCAGTGCCATTTTAACTTTGAATTGTCAGTAAACAAATGGTTGTAAGTCGGGGGCTATCTATCTTTTTTTAAAAAAAAAAATCACCCAAAATTTTAAAAGATATTATAATAAACAGTGCAGTTTATTTATACTCTCCTAAAATGAAATTCTGCAGTCGTCTTCTTTTTATAGAAGTGGTAACATTTTCTTAACACATCAGCACATTCAACAAGTTTTCCATCGGTTTTATTCTTGCAAACAAGATTATCAATGCTGTATCGGGTTTTGTTATTATCAATATAAGCAGTTGAATAATAATATCCAATTTAAACCAGTATTTTTCAAACTTGGCTACTTTAAGAACTCCCTAGCCAGAATACCGAGTTCAGTCTTTGTACTGCATTTCAGTGCAGCTTTAATGGTTAGACCAGTGGTGGCGAACCTATGGCACGCATGCCAGAGGCGGCACTCAGAGCCCTTTCTGTGGGCACGCATGCCGCTGCTGCCATCAGCTCGCGCAGGTCCATTAGGCCGCTGCCGCCATCCAGAACAGCAGCCCCACCCAGCACAAAGGAGGCAAAGCGGCCAACTAGAAAGTCAAGTAGAGGTGGTAGAGCACGCCCACACCCAGCAAGCCAAAGGCCACTCTGAGCAGGGAAAGCCAGATCCCCATCGGCGCCATGGCCCCCCAGTCCCAGCTAGGATTGCGTGCCTCCCCCCATCTATGCTGGGCCTCCTGCCCACCGCCCCACCCGCCAGAGACCCCCTGGATCTTCCCCAACCCTGCCTGGCCCCCATAGGCATCGCCCCCCCATGAGCAACATCGAGGTGGCCATGCCCACCCCAGCCACGCCCACCCAGTCTGCCATGACAACTGCAGCCATGCCCACCCAGTGGGCCACGCCCCCATGCCCCCCAGGGGCACCACAATGCTGATGCGGCCCTGGCACTTTGCGATAAATAAGTGGGTTTTGGGTTGTGGTTTGGGCACTCTGTCTCTAAAAGGTTCGCCATCACTGGGTTAGACTGATCACATTTTTTAGTGTTGGGAAGTGAGGATGGGCAATCAGTTCAGTAATAACATACCTTTCCTGGAAGTGTTTTGAAGGAACTAAGCCTGCTCTGGGATTGGCATCACTTTCCAGCTTGGCTTGCCACCAGGTTGCATCATCTTGGCTCATGATTTGAAGAATATCACCTTTTCCGAAAGGAAGTCCAGCTTCTTTACAAGGAATTGCTTTATCTTCTTTGGGATTGTAGTCAAAAAGAGCTTTCATGAAGATCTGGAGAAAAGAATACATTTTTTACACTGAATTATTTAAAATATATGGAATTCTATTGTTGTTACTGCTGCTTGTTGGCATAAAATAAGTTTACCTATCATGATAAAAACATTTAAATATGGAGAAGCAATGCTGGATTGAATAGGCATTTAAGCCTAAATAAGTAAGTAATGAATGGAATTTTACATAGCTATCACATGAAGAACCTTAGTTGAATCCAACAAGTGTTTACCTTGCCTTCTTTCGATGAGACTTCTTCTTTGATACTGGGTATAATCTTAAATGTAATGGCTCCTTGGGACAGAGACTAAAATATGTAAATATAAATTATTAAATTATGTACTTTAAAAAAAAAAGACAGAATAAATTGATTCCAGTCCAATTCCTATTATTTAATAGCAAACAATTTTGATCTATTGTACATGCATTAAAAGCTACTCTGTTTTCTATCAGAGGAAATTATGTATTTATGTAATACAATGTAATTTAGAAGATGATAGCTGTTTATCAGAAATATACCATAAATATACTATAAAGATTTTTTCAATAAATTATTTCCTTGAACTTAATTCTGCACTGAATAGAAGTAATTATTACTCAAAAGTGTGCAACCTCTCCAAAAGCTAATAATGGATCTTTCAAGTATGATATGACCCAATTTTCTGCATTGTGGAGAGCAGAATTTAACCTAAAGAACAACACTGGACTTCTTTTAAATTACTATTTTTTGTGTTGGTCTATATATATATATATATATATATATTATATTTTATGCAATATTTTATGCAAGTAAAATAAATATACATTTATTAGCTTTGTACTGTTCTTTTACCATAGAGTAACTTAGTTGCTTCACTTTTTTATGGAGACTGCTTTATACTCTTTCTCTTTATACTCTTTTCTTTATAAACATCTACCAGAAACTTCAGACAATAGCATCAAAAACATCAATACTGAAAAATTAGTCTTCTGTGTTTTTCAATTAAATATTCTATTTTCAACCTACCAGAATTTGTATAATTTCTTCTGGTTTTTTATCCTCCACTGAAATTCCATTGACTTCCTTTAGCTCATCACCTACATGAATGAGACCTACGAAAGAGTTATGTAACAGTCAAATAATTCTTATATTGAATGAATCACTGCAACCTGAACATTTTTTCAAATCATGTTCTTTCCAACTAAATTTTAGCTTTACTTGTTCACAAGCTTAGTTGTGTATTGATGGCTTATATATGTGTGTGCATATGTGCTCATGTGTGTCTATATCAACAAGGAATTATATCCAACATTAAGCTAATGAACTTCCCTAACCACTTCATCCATCACCTGGCAGCCCCTAAAATTTCCTGAGCTAGTTTTCTTAAGGACTGGGAGGTAATTATGAAAGTGATTGCTTTTGGCAGAGTTGAAAATTGAGAAACATCTAGAATTGGCTAGATCTATCTTCACAAGAAGAAACTTCACTGATTAATGGAATGACGTTAGACAGAACCAAAGATAGTGAAATTCTTTTTTCAATAAACATTCTCCAATACTGTATATACTGTATTCTTTTGGCAAGTTTTTAAAAACCTCTTTGTTCATTACCAAGCAGAATTTCTAATTATTAATATATTAGATATACAATCTACATGAAATGTGATGCGTTGTTGTAAAGTGGCAGGAATACATTGATGCTTAAATATGGAAACTGATTTTCCAAATTAAAATATTATCACCATATGAAGAAAATGACAATTTCCTCCTTTTTTAAGTACTGCATGCATAATGTACACAATATCATAATTGCACATCTGCTCCAATAATCTATATCTGATAAAAGGTGAATTACATTCAGGGCTTTTTTTCTCGGAGAAAAGGTGGCGGAACTCAAACCTGGCCACGCCCTCATCAAACCCTAGGACCGCCCCTTTAGAGAACAGGAATGCAAGTAAAATTTGGGAGGGGCTATTTCCGGTGTGGGAGGGGCTATTTCCGGTGCGGCCGGCCCGGAAAAAGGTGCCGGAACGCGGTTCCGCCGCGTTCCGGCTGAAAAAAAGCCCTGATTACATTCCATGATATATTAAAATATAGCAAGATCCAATTAATAGATTTTGCTTGATTTAACATTTAAAAATTTAGAAATTAAATTCTGCATTCAATATCTATAACTGTAGTTTAAAAATTCTTACCACTTCGGTCTGCCGCCCCCCCACGCATTATCCGAGCCACAACAACAGCACCTGTGTTTTCATCCCTTTTAATAGTAGCTCCCTTTAAAAATAAATTTAAGAATTATGATAAAATTAATATTGAACCACATAAAACAATTTTCTAGCTGCTGTTTTTTGGTAACTTGAACATTTTTTAACTACTGCTGATGTTGTTAGTTCTTCCATTTGATTTTTACTAAATTCATCTTGAATTTGGTAAAAATCAAAGGGAAGAACTAATAACAGTAGCAATAGTTAAAAATCAAGTGAAAATATTAACAACCGAACATCTCCTGGAAATGATCAATTTCATGGTTTCTGGATTGAAGATCTGACAGATTTATGTTTAACTATAATTAAACAGCTAAATGAAATATTGCATAAAAGAGACGTCAGTGATTGGTTAGTAACTGGCAAAACAGTGATTTTTTAAAAAAACACAGGGAAAAAAAATCACACCAGGAAACTGTAGGCCGATAACATCCTTGACTACAATATTTAACAGAACAGAAAGGAAATAAAAGGAAATGCAAAGGCACAAACGATAAACCTTTGATTGATATTTTGATTTGGGAGAAATGCAAAAGGTTAAGAACCAATTTACATATGGTGTGGATTGATTATAAAAGGTATATTGTTTGATCATAAAATATTTGTTTATTATATTGTTTGATCATAAAATATTTGGAAATAACTGGATTCAATAAAAAACATTAGAATGGTTTAGAAAAATATGGGCTTGTCGACATTAGGACAGGCATCTTCCAGGGAGATTCATTATTACTCTTATTATTTGTTCACTACTATGATCCATTTTCAGTTATTTTATTTTTTTTAAAAACCCATCTTGGATTCCAAACAGCAAAAAATCCTAATACAATCTCACGCTTGCTTTATATGGATGATCGAAATCAAAATCCAATCATTGACAAATAAAAATTTTAGCAATGAAATTTGGCTTAAATGTGCTACTGTTACTTCTAGGTGAGATGGGCAGCATATGTGGAATAAATAAAAATAAATAAATTGGGGTAAAATCACAAACAATAATGGAATTGAAATGCAATCAAGAATTGAAAAATCATCAGATGATTCAAAATATAGATTATACAAAGAAACAGAAGAAACAGTGCATCATAAAGCCAGCTTGTGAAAAAGATTGTACAAACTGATATAAAAACAACGTAACACATATGGTCTCTTTGGTCTTCTTGGCTCTCTTTGAAAATAAAGATGCAGAATACAACAGATTCTGGATCCTGATTCCATTATTTTTTCTTTAGCTAGTTGTGTGGAATCAGCATGGCTTAAATGTGACTGACTGTTCTCACCAAACTGTATGGCAAAGAATAAAAATAAAACCATGTGATACTATCAACTCATTTTTAGAAGATTAGTCAAATGCTGCTGCTATTGCTACTGCTTATTATTATTTCAGTGCTAAAACTTACCAGAGGTTCTCTATTTTTTACGAGTCTGATGATTTTTACAGAATCTTCTTCATTATCAATATCGTCAGGCATGGGAGGCAATACAGGATCATAGCTTTTCTCAGCAACAATATCATGTACAGAAAGCAAAGCCTGCAAAAATTGGGTTAAAAATAACCATCAACTAAAAAAGCATAAAAACATATCTGCATTGGTAATTTACCATTACTGCTGCAGACCTTGATATAGTTTGCATCTCATTAGCAGTGATTTGGCATGAAGTGTGCCTCATAGCTTAGGAACAGTACTTTGTTCCAGAATAAAATCAAAGGAGCTGCATTCTGTATTGTTGAAAGGATGTATTTGTTCAATTTAACAAAACTGCAACACAAACATAAACTTCTAAGACATCAGTGAAGAGAAGCAGAAAACTGGATTGTTTTTGTTCATGAAAGGAAAGAAAATGTTTAACGGTTATGAGTATTTTAGAGATCTTGTCTTCACAGGATTGTTATTTTTCCAGATTCACCATCTAAAAGCTATTATTCACATGAAAAGAAAAAAAAAATTAAGTATATTCATTAATATAACCATGCATCACATTTAGAATGTTAAAGCTAGTAAGATTCAAATTCTTGTAAGAGCTAATATAAATATTGATATTGAATTTGTATGCATGATCTAACTGGAATATTGAAAATCCTGTATCAGACATAGTTGATGTACAATATTCTTTGGACAAAGGCACTGGTACCAATTCTCATTTAAATGTATAAGAAAATATATTTAAATCTATTCTTAAACTGAATTTAGAACTCAATAAAACTGCAATCACCATCATCGTTCCAACTATGAATACATAGTAGGTCTTTCTATCCATTCTCTCTCTTTTGCAAATAAGATATATATTACTGCAGCTCAACAATATCCATATGACATAATATGCTTATTATTTTAAAACAAAAACAGTTATTATTTTAAAACAAAACAGTGCTGTCTGGAATAATATTACCGTGGTTTTTCCTTACCATGTTAATTTTATTTTTACTTGTAAAAAAAAGATAATTTCCTGCACTGAAAGTTTTAATCATTGAACATCTACTCTTCTGCACTGGTGAATCTGCAGCTCTTACTAATATGGATATAGTACATATGAAGTTAGACACTTTTTTCCATCTTTAAACTCGTTTCCTCTTCTTTGGGACTGTTAATATCAGAGGACACTGGATTGTCTACATATTCTTAAATATCCACCCAAAGAAGCAGCTACTTCATGCCATCTGGTTAAAGTACTCATTTTCTTTTCTATGGCACCTCTTTTTCCTCCCTTCCTAATTCAATCCATACTTTCAGAAGGATTTTTTAAAATTATTTAATCAGATCCATTTGCTTAAAACAGAAAAATTACAACATGATACAAAAGTGGCTGCCATATTTTTTTCAGCTTTCCAGTCTAATTTACAGTTCTGTTAATCCCTGAAAGTCTTCTTCCAAGTACTAACTATGCCTGATCCTGCTGATTTCTGAGCGCACACAAGGTCATTAAGTCTTTCGAATAAAAACAATTAAATTAGGGAGTCTTTAAAATTCTCCCCAACAGTAGAGTAAGCGCGACAGATGATACTGCTGTAACAACATCTAGTTAATCAATTTTTAAAGTTCTAAAAAAAGCTTTCAAATGGTACAGGGAAAAAGCAAATTCTGAAAAGCATAAGCAAATTTGAAACAGATGCCCATTATAGCCACCTAATGGGTACACAGAATGAAAAAGAGAAAAGTGGGCCAATGGCAAGCCACTGTGCTCCCTTCTTCCTCTCCCCCTCCCTTTTTTGGTCACCAATCGCAAGAGTTCAGTAGGATTCCAGGATGGATGGAGTGAGAAGGAAGAGCAGCAGTTGAAGCCATTGCTCAGCAAATGGACAGAACTATGCAAAGAGCCCTCATAGAAAAGACTAGTCCACAAAGCGGAAGGAAAGAGAACTGAAGGACAGGTAAGTAAAATGAAACAGAAATAAATAGCAAAAAGGCATCCAGAACCAGAAAATAGAGGTGTGTGTGTGTGTGTATGAGTGAGAGAGAGGGGGGAGGGGGAGGGAGGGAGGGGGAGGGGGGGGGGGGGGGGGGAGGAAGAAAATTAGGGTTTGAATAGTTGGCCCAACTCTAACAGACAACACTCCTGACTAGTAGACAAATGGGTTACGGCCGCCATCAGAACGGTGCAGAACGGTGATGTTACAACTGACTCCAGGAACCAGCGCAGAAGTGAATGGTGAAAGATAGCCTGGATCTCCAAAGGCTAAGTCTGCCAGGTGAAGAACGGGACAGGTGGGTATCCTAAGGAAGTCACAGCCACCATGTCAAGAAAGTTAAATCTCTACCAGGGGAAGGGGAAGGGGAAGGGAAGGGGAAAGGAAAAAAGGGAAAGAGAAGAGCAGACATGATTGGTTTTCACTCAGTATCCAGCCAATTGAGGTCACACAATTATGGAAGTGTGGGTGGAAAGAACTAGGAGAATTAGACCAAAAAGAAAAGAGATTTGGATAATTTAAATAATTAAATATAGTAGAAAACAATATTATTTTTATTTAGAACACAACGCTATAATAATTGGACAGACTATAATATAGTAAATAAAATAGAACTGACTAGAGAGTAAAAACAGAACAACACAGGATAACAAGAAGAATAATTCCTGAGAATAAAACAAAATAAACTCTGTATTGTAATATGATAGATAGAGAGGAAGGGTGGGAGGGATTTTTTTTTTGTCTTGGTACATATGGGCATACATACATGCAGGCTACATTACTACAGTATTCATTTAGAAACTTTTAAACATAAAGATTTATAATATTTTTTGGCAAGATACACAGTAGTCCAGCTTATACCAAATGTTCAAATTTAGTTCATTAAACCACTTACTGAAAATGGGTAAGCAACTGTAACCAGGAGGATAACAGACTTGTATGGATATGAAACTACATTGCTGAAGCCGGGGAAAAAACAAGATAGCACAAAAGTTAAAAAAAAATCTTCACTGCTCTTTTTTTTCTTACTTTATATTGCTTTAAGGAATTGAACTGTTCTGGTTTTCTTTCCTGAGCAATTTCAGAAGACTGCTTGATTAATTTTTTTAACTTTTTGTCATTCTCAAAACTATAAGATTTATTGCTCGATGTATTTGCACTGATTTTTGAATTTATTTGCAGCAATCTGACTGCCAACTATTTAACAATTGGGATATAAGAAGTCTATGTTTTTCCTGAAGTCCTTCCCAAAATCATATACAAAGTGGAACAGAATTAGAACATTTCATCCTGATAAATAGCGCACTTTCTCTTTTCTAAAACATAAAATTAATTCAGTGTATTGCTAATCGCACGAGGCAGTAATGCTCCAGTTGTTATTAACACTGACGCAGGAAAGCATGATGTGTCTCCTACATTAGCCACACACATGCCAATTTTCCTTTGGATACATACCAACACCATTATCATTGTAATGCCTCAAAAGATTCATCTAAATGCTATGCTTTTGGCCTATGCACATCACCAAATTGCATTTAGGAAGCATACTGTTTCTACTGTTTTTCACAACTTTTATTTTAATCCACATATTTTGGAAGCAGAAATGTCTACTTAAGCAGAAACTGCAAAAGCTAAGAATCCCCCAAACTAGGTCACTCTAAACCAAGCACTATCATCACCACATGATGGGGCTTAGCATGGAAGAATTTACCAGATAAATTTGAAAAGGTGAATTCTTTTCAAAATGAACTTGATTCAGGATCACATGATGGACCTATTCAGATTATTTTCTTGGCAGCAATATGAAAATATGAATTTGTCTTTTCCACATCCAGCCAACAATCTTTGTAATTCATAGAGGCTTCCTATTTAAGTGCTACCTAGCTTCTAAGCCCAGATAAATTTGTGTACCTGTGAAAGTGATAGCATAGCTGAATGTAAACAAAGTCAGTTTATTACAAACTGAACTTAGCTCTTGTTGAAATGAAAACCAAAAGAAGTTAATAAGGGCGAATTAAGACCCAACACAATAATTGGATTAACACATAATAAATCATGGTTTATTTATTCTTGGTTTATTTAATATATTACAATTGGCAAGGTTCATATATTTTTTACCTTTCATTTGGGTGGATCTACACAAATTGTATGTCAAACAAATAACATTATGGCTTATGGAATGTGAAAGCCCAGTATTTGAATGTGGAACTGCAATACTTCAAAGGTCATTTTTACACTTATAAACCAAGGTGAAGGAAGAAATGCAGATTCACTGACAACATTTTTGTGTGTAACATGTTTACATGTATACTTATGTTAACTGAGGTTCCTTGCTGCAAGACCCAGTTTAATGACTTATAAGACTAAATAAATCTGTAATTAGATTATCTCCAGTTGTTTTGGTAAACTCTTTGGATATGCTTTGCACCACAGTAAGATCTGCATATAGACACTGGATGGCCATTTGTCCAAACTGCTTTAGCAGATTCTACATTGAAGAAGCGCTTGAACTAGATGACCTCTGAGATCCCAAAAAGTAGAGAAGGGAACTAGGGGATCAGCCATATTGGACTTAATTCTCACTAACACAGATTAAATGATAGAAGGGTGTGGAAGTCACAGGAACCTTGGGGGAAAGTGATCGTGCAATATTGGAATTCAATATTATGGAAGCACAAGCAATAGAACATAGTCAAACTAGGGTCTTGGACTTTAAGAGAGCTAATTTCAATAAACTTAGAGAGAGCTTGGGAAGGATTCTATGGATGAGAATCCTCAAGGGGAAAACAATTCAAGAAGCTTGGGAAATTTTGAAAAGTGAGATTATAAAAGCCCAATCTAGCACAATACCAACAAAGAAGAAAAATAACAGCTCTCAAAAGAAACCAGCATGGCTGCATAAAGAACTCTGATAAATTGAAAGACAAAAGAACAAGTATAAAAAGTGGAAAGAGGGGAACATAACTAAGGCAGAATATCAGCAAACAGCCCGAGCCTGTAAAGATGAAGTGAGGAAAGCTAAGGCTCAAAATGAACTAAGGCTTGCAACAAAAGTCAAAAATAACTGCTTTCAACATGTAAAAAACAAGAAAAAAGTTAAGGAAATGATTGGTCCAATAGTGGGAGAAAGTGGCAAGAAGGTGACAAGCAACAGGGAGAAAGCAAAATTACTTAACTTGTTTTTAGTATCTGTCTTTACACAAAGAGAAAAAACAGTCCAACCTATCAAAAACAGTACTGTAAAAAAGATTAGAAACATGTTAAAATAGGCAGACAGAGAATGAGGTGGCTCAATGAAGTCACTGAAGCAGTAAACATGAGCTTAAATGGACTCCAGAAGATGGTAGAGGACAGGAAGGCCTGGAGGAATGTTGTCCATGAGGTCGCAATGGATCGGACACGACTTCGCAATTAACAACAAAAATAGGCAAGAAAATGGTAAGAGAGCACCTGTCCACCCTAGACGAGTTCAAATCACCGGAACCAGATGGATTACACCCCAACGTTCTGAAGGAACTGACATGTGATCTCAGAACTATATCTTTCAAAGATCCTGGAGCACTGGGGACCTATCAGAGGTCTGGAAAAGAGCTGATGTAGTTCCCATCTTCAAAAAAGGAAAAAAAATGAATCCAAGAAACTACAGACCTATCAGCCTGACTTCAATACCTGGGAAGATTCTGGAAAAGATAATCAAGCAACGAATCAGCAAAAATCTAGAGGCAAACAAAGTCATAACGAAAAGCCAACGTGGGTTTGTCAAAAACAGCTCATGCCAGACAGATCTTATTGCATCCTTTGACCAGGTGACAAAATTAATGTACCAGAGGAATGCTGTGGATATAATTTACTTGGACTTCAGTAAGGCATTTGATAAACCTATTACTTGATAAGATAGAAAAATGTGGGTTAGACAGCATCACCACCAGATGGATTCGTAGCTGGCTGACCAGCCTTACTCAGCATGTGATCCACAATGGAACTGCATCTACATGGAGGAAAGTGTGTAGTGGGGTGCCCCAGGCTGTCAAGCCTCCATCGGAGCCTGAATCTGCTGAGGAAAATGAGCTAGAACAGGACCCTATGGAGGTCAAGGGAGAGGTATCTGTGGCTTCAGAGGAATGTGGGGAAGAGCAGGCCGAGGCAGGCCAGGGCCTTTCAGGATTGGGACAGGATGAACATGAGAGTCAGAGCTCAGGCAATGAGCAAGGGCCACCCCCTCCTGATCCTAGAGCACGGAAAGTGGAGAGAAGGAGGGAACAACACAGGCAGGCTCAACTACTCGGGAAGAGAGCACTCCGCACACCTGGAGACTGAGACTTAAGGAGATACTGTGGGGAGGGGCAATTGTCAGGAACAAATGCTGATTTCTTGGAGTTTTGTGTACTGTTGCTGATCTTGGAAACAACTCTCTGATCTCTTGTTCTGTGTTGTGATTTCTGCTTGGAAACCCTGAAACTCTGACTATTGGACTGGCTGACAAACTTGATTTGGTGTTCAAAGACCTCGGATTGTATTTTGGCTTCTCTTCTGAAACTGCTCAGGCAAACTTGTATTTCCACAGACTCGTTAGATTTTGGATGTATGTTTCATTCCTTGTTATCTACATGGCCTTGAGTAAATTACTCTTCTAATCTAACTGTACGTGAAACTACTTGCAGCCAGAGGCTGCTGAAGGTGTGTGTGTCTTACTTTGTTCTGGGGCTAGCCAGAAATGTGGGAGCATTTGGGGAAAATTGGAGCAAATAAAGGACGGTTTGAACTGCCAGTTGACTGTTTTGCCTCTGTACGATGCCCTTGGTCATCACAAGGGCTCTGTTCTGGACACAGTGCTCTTCAACATCTTCATCAATGATTCGGAAGAGGAGATAGATGGGGAATTCATCAAATTTGCTGATGACACCAAGCTGGCAGGAATAGCCAACACTCCAGAAGACAGACTTAAGATACAGAAGGATCTTGACAGACTTGAACATTGGGCGCTATCTAACAAAATGAAATTCAATGGTGAAAAAAGTAAGGATCTACATTTAGGCAAGAAAAAACAAATGCACAGGTACAGTATAGGGGGTACCTTGCTCAATAGTAGTAACTGTGAGAGAAATCTCAGAGTCCTACTGGGTAATCACTTAAATATGAGCCAGCAATGTGCTGCAGCTGCCAAAAAAGCCAACACAGTGCTAGGATGCATTCACAGAGGAATAGAATCAAGATTACGTGAAGTGTTAATACCACACTTAAGGCCACACTTGGAATACTGCATCCAGTATGTAAAAAAGATGTTGAGACTCTAGAAAGTGTACAGAGAAGAGAAACAAAGATGATTAGGGGACTGGAGGCTAAAACATATAAAGAACAGTTGCTGGAATTAGGTATGTCTAGTTTAATGAAGAGAAGGACTAGGGGTGACATGATAGCAGTGTTTCAATATCTCAGGGGTTGCCACAAAGAAGAGGGAGTCAAGCTATTCTCCAAAGCAGAGGTCCCCAACCTTTTGGGCACCAGGGACCGGTTTCGTGGAGAGAGTTTTTTTCTGTGGACAGGAGAGTGCGTGGTTTTATGTGCTGCCTGCATCCCACAGATGGGTCTTTACTTGTTTATGCGAACCGGTTGCTGGCATGCCACAACCCGGTACTGGTCCATGGACCGGGGGTTGGGGACCCCTGCTCCAAAGCACCTAAAGGCAGGATAAGAAGCAATAGATGGAAACGAATCCAAGAGAGAAGCAACCTAGAACTAAGGAGAAATTTCCTAACGTTTAGAACAATTAATCAGTAGAACAACCTGCCTACAGAAGTTGTGAATGCTCCAACACTGGAAGTTTTTAAGAAGAGACTGGACAACCATTTGTCTGAAATGGTATAGGGTTTCCTGCCTGAGCAGGGGGTTGGACTAGAAAGATCTCCAAGGTCCTTTCCAACTCTATTATTGTTATTGTTATTATTATCATGTCCAAAATTGATATTACTCTAAGAATGTAGCAAGATTTGGCTTAATAGCAATAATGCTGAGATAGTCTTTCATATAAGGATTTTGGATGGTAGCAATGAAATGAATTTTTAGCTATGAATATTTATATTTATGTTTTAAAACTTTATTGCTTTTTGATCTGTCTGTATGATATAAGATATAAAATCTATTATTAAGCTACAATCAAACAATGCGCTATATTATAGATTTTTTCTCTATCTCCCTTCAGCATTTTATTCTAGCAATTCTGCATGTACACATGAACACAAGAATATTCATAGAAATGTCACCATACTTTTAAAATAGAGGAGTAAGCAATTCTGTAGCTTAACAGGTACAACCAGGTACACACCCTTACCTTCAGACTAGGTTTGGACAGCAGCTGCAAGAGTTCTCTGATCTCATTGTTTAGTGGTTTATTCTGCAGTTCTTCAGCCAGCTGTGAAGGAGATTAAAACAACCCAAAGAACATTAGCCAATACATTGTCTTATTCAATGTGTTGATGACAACCCAAAATCAGCCTTGTTCAAATTTATTACTTTCAAGTAGTTTTAGCATGAAGGAAAACAGATAATCAATCACTGCTCTTCATTTTCTGTCCTTTTCTGTCCTTTTCTGGGCAAGTCTTTCAACTGAATTTGACTTAAGTGACCATTTCTGGCAGCAGCACCCAGATCACATTCTGATTTATAGCAATAAGAGCAAATCCCAGAACACTCATCTAAGTGAATGGTCCTTTGCATGCAAACAAAGCACTGCTTGTAAAAATGGCTGGATCAAACTTATAGCAGTCTATAAAAACTAGCTTTCGAGTGAAGAGATGAAATCTACACTGCTTCCAAAAAACCCACAGTAGCTTTTATTGTTTAGAGCTGGATTACAGAATCATGGTGCTTCTGTTGTGTTACTACTCCAGATTTTATTATGTTTGTATACAAGAAGCAAATACTTTTAATGTTTTAATGTCTGACAAGTGAATCACAGAAATGTAATTAGAATCAAATCTCCATATATTCAAGCATTTTAAACAATCTTTGAAAATGAACTCAACTATGTCAGAGTATAATCCAAAGCAGTGATCTAGATAATATAGCAAGAAGCTCTAACTTCATATAACAATAATTGCATTCTTGTTATACAACAATATGCATGCCATAGAACTTATTTTTGAAAATCCATAATCATAGAAGCTAATATTCTATAATCATCCAGTCCAATGATTATGATCTGTAAAAAGAAAAAAGTTGTTTTCACACCCTCCCCATTTTCTATTTAAAAATATTTAAATAAAAATGAGTGAAAGTGTCAGTCTATAATAAAATTACAGCACTGTATCAAAAATTGTCACTAAGTATGCATCACTATATGTATTTTTCCTTTAAATCAGTTTAATTTTTCTCCCAGCATCTCATGTTCAATTTACACAACTATGCACACAATCAGAAAATACAGGGTTGATTTTTATTAATAACAATTCTAGTGACACCAGAGGACTTCCAGGGAAGAAATGGCAAACTTAAGACAACCCTGCTAAAAGTGGAGCTGATAAAAAGATTGGAATGAAGAACTAGAAAGCAGATTAGCTCTTTATAATTCCTCTCCAGACAAGGAGTTGCCCACAAGTGCTCCAGACAGTAGATCCTCACAAAGACTGCCAGACAGTGGTCTCTGATGGATTTAGACACTGGGAGATGAAGAAACAGCAATCTTGCTCAAACCATGGTTGGTATATCTAAAATGATACTGGGTTCGCATATAGTAATCCTCAACTTATGATCACAACTGGGATTGAAATCTGCATCAATGAGCAAAGCTGTTGTTAAGTGAGATGCCACATGATTTTTTTGCTAAAATCCTGGCTCTCCTAGTCATAAAGCGACCTCATAGGTTAGGTGGATGAAGCAAAAGAGCAAAGGTGGGCAGGAAGCTCCCTCTATGAGCAGAAGGGAACTCTTGTCGTGTGGCACAGAAACGGAGCTTGGATCTCCAGGATTCCCACTTCATTTCTCCAGCTCAGTGCAGAAGTTCCCTTCCATGCATGGATGGGGTGGGGAAAACTCCTGCACTGAGATGAAGAAATGAAGCAGGAATCTTGAAAATCCGAACTTCATTTCTGGAGCCAGATGAAGGATATCTGCACCCCCTGGGCATGGAGGAGAATGGAGGGGAAGCAGGGGACACGACCTTGAAACTTTCCCTGCTAGGTTTCCCACTGACTTGCTAAAGAAGTCAGCAGAGAAGATTGCAAATTGTGACCACGTGATCATAAGGTACTTGGCCACTGGTTGTGTGAACAGGTTGCCAAGCACATAGATAACGGTCATGTGAGCTGGGGAAACCCGGCATTTTATAATAGCTGGAAATGCTTTATGGACTGTAAAGCACCCTTTCTGAGTCATTATTAAGTTTGAATAGTCATTAAACAGCCAATCCTAAATCAAGGACTACCCATAGTTAATTTTCAGATAATTTTCAAAAATTGATTGATTTTCAGCTATTAAGAACCCAAGTTAATTTTATGAATGTTTGCGATTACAATTAGACTTTGTTTAAAACATGTTATTGAAGAGGAACAATTTTTACTGGATAAGATTGAGATTGATCTGAAAGTGGATTTAAAAATAACAGGCTAGAAGAATGATATGGGAAAAGATGCTACGTGGATATACTAATAAAATCAGTTGATGTTTTAATAGTTAAAAGGGATATACAAATAAAAAAACAAGAGAGGGATCTGGATAACATTCTTATATTGGATTCTTATATTGGATTTACAAAGAGATGTAAAGCTTTTAAGAATTTTGTGAGAAGGGACCAAAAAAATGAAAAGAAATCAAGTTCTAGGACATTATTTGAAAGGATTAAAGATCAAGATTGTTAAAAGCAAAAGGAAGGAATATAAAGTTGGTATATTTAATCAAAGTTAAAACTGATACATTGTTATCTCTGCTAAACTTTAATGGATTTTAGCTGACATGGATTGAACAACGATGTTTTAAGGATTTGTTTATAAATAAGACATGGGATATAGAAAGATCATTTGTTGCATTTTAAGAAAAGGAGATAAAATTACTAAAATTGTTTATACTTTTGATGAAGTGGATGCATTTCTTTATATATTTTATTTCTTTTTCTTTACTGTATTCTTATTTTTTCTATTTTTCCATTTTTTTATTTTCTGTACTATTTTGTGTTCTAATTCCTTTATTTTTTAATTTGTATTGTTTTTATTTTAATTGTAATTTTTGATAAAATTACTATAAAATTATAGCAACAATAAATTAAATAATGTGCCATTTGGCATAATTTCATTTTCAATTTGAAAAGTAATTTGAAAAGATGTCTCATTTCTTTAATTATTATTAGTAATTTCTCTTATTCTCTTAGTTTATTAGTTACTTTATCTATATGTATTTTTGGAAAACAACATTCTATTCACTTAACATATTAGATGGCAATTTTTCTTTCAAGATAGATGATAAAATGTATCTTGGTTATCAAGGCAGAACGAGAACACTTCTAAATGCCATGTTTTTAGAATTAAAGACTTAATACAATTGAAAACAAGATGATAAATCTTATGACCATAGTTCTTTGGAAACTGTTCTCTATTCTTTTCAGATGATCTACTTCATATGCTTATTCTATCCACTGCTTTCAGTCTTTAAAAACTGTGATTTCAATGGACATTTCATACACACTTACATCATCTGCCAAAGCTGATGCATCGTGCAACATGGGCACGGGGCTCTGTTTTTCATAGTGATGCAATTTCTCATGAATCTAGGAAATAATGGAACAAAAAGGTTTAGTTAGCAGCAGAAATATGTGGAGATATACACTGGCTAGTTAAACAACTGCAAAAATAACCCCCACCGATTTTACGAAGCATTTAATAGTGAACATATTGATATAATTCATCATCATCTTTTGATGAAGTGATGAAATTATGAAATCAAATAGAAAAAAATAACCATTACAGACCAATATGCAGTCAAATTAAACATTCATTTTTCTTTCTCTTGTTTTTTACTTTGTAATTCTTTATCTCATCAAATGTGCAGATTACACCAAGCTGGAAGGAATAGCCAACACTCTAGAACAGTGGTTCTCAACCTTCCTAATGCCGCGACCCTTTAATACAGTTCATGTTGTGGTGACCCCCAACCATAAAATTATTTTCATTGCTACTTCATAACTGTAATTTTGCTACTGTTATGAATCGTAATATAAATATCTGATATGCAGGATGTATTTTCATTGTTACAAATTATACTGTTATAATTTCAGTATAATAGTTTACAGTAGCTGAAGCAGATTGGATTAAAACAGAATGGCTGCATTTGTGCAACTTATGAAGCTTGATTACTTTAAACTTGATGTCAATGTTGCTTTTTGTGTGTGCAGTCTTAGTGAATTATGGAAATATAGCCCCTTTATTCTTCTAGTATTATGTGATTCAGAAAATGGGTCATTTCAGCTGGTCCAGCGATAGGCAACCTTGGCTCTTTTATGACTCGTGGACTTCAACTCCCAGAATTCCTGAGCCAGCTATGCTGGCTCAAGGTTGCCTACCCCTGAGCTAGTCAGTGGTTCCTCTTCTTTTCTCCCCCCCCCCCAGCTCCCCACCCCAGCTCAGTCAGCAGCTCAGTTCTGGGGCTGTACCTGCCAGAATCTTAGGAGAGATTTTTGGAAGGAGGTCTTGTCCACTGAGGCAGAGGCAGCAGAAGAGAAATCCATTCCTTCCTCCCACCCCACTGCTGGTTCCACTGAGCAATAATCAACTGCTTTTGGTGCAGCAGCCAGGGCAGGAAGAATGGGGGCATCACTGCAGCAACTGCAAGACCCCTTGGAGCTTCTTGATTCTACACTAGGAGCAGATTCATTTCCCCCCCCCCTTCCCGGCTTTCCAGAGGCACACTAGGAAACAGAGAAAAGGCAGGCAGGAGGGGAAAGGGAAACACATACTGCAGACCAAAACATCCACCCAAAGCAGCATTCATCTCCAAAGCCCCCCTCCTTTGATCTCTTCCCTTTTCACTGCCTGGACCAGTTTTCCTTCTCCCATCTGTAATGAAATGGCGCTCCCTTCCCTTGCATCCCACAAGTAGGAAGCCATCAAGAGGGGGGAGGGATTGAGCAGCAGGAATCAAAAAGTACGTGCTGTCTTACGGAGGGCTGCAGGGATCACAGAGGAGGAGAGGACAGGGGGGGAAATCAGCGGCCGTGGGAAGAGAGGAAAAAGCTCTGAGCAAGCAGTTGTCTTTAGCCATCGACGAAAAGTGGAGGGCACCAACTGCACCGCAGGGCAAGAAGTAAAGGATGGAAGAGAGGAGGGGGCTCAGAGTTGGGGGGATGTGCGCACAGGGCGGTAGGGGGATAGGAGAAAGCCAGGCTTCGATAACTGGCCGCTTGCCGGAAATCACAATCCCCCTGAGGGAGCGATGCTTCCCTGAGCCAGAATGAAACCGAACGTCCTTCAGAGAATTCCGGGCCTGCCTGAATGAAGATCAACGGCTTTCCCTTCCGCTTGGCTCTGCTAGGCCCGCATAGAATCCAGGGCTTTCTGACAGGGCAGGACTCAGCAGAGGTAGATGGGGGAACAGCAGACAGGAGAATCGGTGGCAGGAGGGGAAGGGCTGTTCTGCAGGGCTGCCTCTCACCTCTTCAGGTGAAGACTACTGGAGCTGCGGCTGCTTTGGTTGCCCACCAGGCGGGCGATCTCGGAAGGGTCGCAAACTCCTCCCCCTGCAGGCAGTCCTCTGCTCCCCCCCCGGACTTGCCGTTCCCATCTAGCGCAGGTGATTCCCACTGAGCCCACCAGAACTAGTAATCGGGGCAGTGGAGGAAGCTTCCGACTCTGGTTAGCACCACTCGGTGCCTTCCTGGACCCGGGAAGCGTTCGGACTAAGCCGACCTTCCGTGGTTTGTGGGGCAAAGCCGAGCAATATCGCGCCGAATCCTCTGCAGAATACAAGGAGAGACCAGCTCGGCTGCGAAAAAGCTTCCCTGGAAAAAGCACTCCTGTTCGATTCAGCCGAAGGACATCTGGGACCGCACGGAGAGCCTTTAAAGCCATTCCCCGATCCCGAGGTGGATGCAGCCGTCGAGATGCAAAAGAACACCGCCGCGTATCTTAGACTAAGTTCCTAAGACCATCGGAAATATGTGTTTTCCAATGGTCTTAGGTGACCCCCCCAAAGGGGTTGCGACCCACAGATTGAGAACCACTGCTCTAGAAGATAGGCTTAAAATACAGAAGGATCTTGACAGACTTGAACATTGGGCGCTAACAAAATAAAATTAAATGGTGAAAAAAATAAGAAAAACCAAATGCACAGGTACAGTATAGGTGATACCTCACTCAATAGTAGTAACTGTGAAAGGAATCTTGGGAACCCTAGTGGACAATCACTTAAATATGAGCCAGCAGTGTGCTGCTGCAGCTGCCAAAAAGGCCAACACAGTTCTAGGCTGCATTCACAGAGGGATAGAATCAAGATCATGTGAAGTGTTAATACCACTTTATAACACCTTGGTAAGGCCACATGTGGAATACTGCATCCAGTTTTGTCACCACAATATAAAAAAGATGTTGAGACTCTAGAACAGGGATAGGCAATCTCGGCTCTTTTATGACTTATGGACCTCAACTCCCAGAATTCCTGAGTCAGCATAGCTGACTCAGGAATTCTGGGAGTTGAGGTCCATGAGTCATGAAAGAGCCGAGGTTGTCTACCCCTGCTCTAGAAAGAGTGCAGAGAAGAGCAATAAAGAAGACTGGGGGACTGGAGGCTAAAACATATAAAAAACGGTTGCTGGAATTGGGCATTAGTTTAATGAAGAGAAGGACTAGGGGTGACATGATAGCAGTGTTCCAATGTCTCAGAAGTTGCCACAAAGAAGAGGAGTCAAGCTATTCTCCAAAGCATTTGAGGGCAAGAAGCAATGATGGAAACTAATCAAGGAGAGAAGCAACCTGGAATTAAGGATAAATTTCCTGACAGTTAGTACAATTAACCTAGTGGAACAACTTGCCTCCATAAGTTGTGAATGCTCCTTCACTGGAAGTTTTTAAGAAGAGATTGGACAACCATTTGTCTGAAATGGTATAGGGTTTTCTGCTTGAGCAAGGGATTGGACTAGAACACCTCCAAGGTCCCTTCCAACTCTGTTATTCTATTCTGTTCGGTTCTGTCCTGTCCTGTCTTCTCTCCCACCTTACTTACAATTTAGATATAATTCTTCTGAAAACAAAAATACATAGCATACTATACTTTACCAATACTTCTGAAGTTACCAACATAAACAAGCAAAGAGCTACATTGTTTTCCTAATATTTATTCAGAAAATATACTTAGATATCATGTTTCTTAGATTTTAATAGCCATGTCACAACCATCTGTTTTTATCCTCTGTACATACAATTAAACATTTTTGGACAGGCTATGGAATAAAATACATTTGTAAGAAGATGTAAACAGGTTGTTTCTACAAGTCTTTTAAAACATATAAAATATCAAGTTATTTAAACATACAACATATTCCTGCATTTAAACAAACTAACATTAGTATTTCCTCATATTTCAACATAATCAAGTAATGACTGTTTAGTTGGGTTATAAAATCTAGACATTGTCACAATGATTTGCAAGCATTCCATTTTGCATAAAATGTTTCTTCAATGCTAGAATATTTTCCAACATTTTTTAAAAAATAACCAAAAGAAGAAAGCAATAGATTTAGTTTTAACATTGCAATAAGCAAATTGCTTATTTACATAACTTTTTTGTTGGATTATGCCAAGTCAATATAATTTAACATTTTCTCTGCCAAAAATGGACTTAATAACATGTTTGGAAAACCTGCAAGAACGTACCTTCATGTTTCCCCCCACATCTACTTCCCAAAAAAACACTGCTATTAAATATGATTTCTATTTACCTGTCACACATATGATTAATTTTGAAGCCATCTAAAGAAGATGGATTTTGATTTAACTTGGGACATTTATATTGAGACAATAAAATTTGTGAGTTATTTATTATATTTCTATACCCAGAAACCCAATTTGCAAGTTATTTGAAAAAGCACTTCATTTATTCTAAAGGAGAAACTGATTATATTATCCACACCTCCTTTTTATAAACTCTTAGAAAATGGTGCTTTAAGAGAGTTACTATAAAATAGTAAAATATTATACAATAACTCTCCTAAACTACCATTTTCTACAGAACAAATTATAAAATTGCAAATGTGTCAACATGTCCATAAAGACTTGGGAACCCTTAAGAGATTGCTACTTTCTCTAAAATTTCCCTAAACTTAACAGTAGTTAATGCTCTCATTGATTTTAACCACTGTTAATCACTGATTTAACCATATCAGGATTTGAATTCAGAATTTAAAGCTCCTTTGAAATTTTGATTAGCTGTATTTTTAAATTTATAATTGTAGAAATGATAATTATACTAAATATTCTGTTTTAAACTATAAACCATTAATGTTAGGACTATAGTTTTATTTGCAAAAATGGTGTTCTGTTTTATTCATTAAAATTAATGTTGGAATTATCTTCTAATTCAATGTATTTGCCTTATCTGACCTGCAATATTATTTTGCATTCCCCTTTCAATTTTCAGTCTATAGATGTAACTGAAAAATCTAGACAAAGCTGAAATTCATCTTCTGAATTAATAGTTAAGTTATGCAGACTGTTCTATTTTTGCAAGTGTATAATCTAAATACTATTATAAACCCCTTACTTCTTGGACAGTCTCATT